AAGTGCTAGAAACTTGATTAAAGGCCTATTTGATATAGCAGTTTAAAGATAACAGTTAGTGATTTTATTCAAACCGCTTAGGATAGGGGTTTTTGATAAATTCATTTATTTCAAAACCACTACAAATTAGATATTTGATAAAAAATTTTATTTAATAGTTTAAGACAAATAAATAGCGATTAGGGTTTAAGCCGTTAACAAATTGAGAAGGTTACGTATGAAAGTTTTTTGTACTAAATTATTAGCGGATTAGAATTTTTATTTTATTTTATTGATAAATTTATCTTTTTTATTTTTTAATTTTTGGCAACAATTTTTAATTAGTATTTATTTAATTAGTTTCAACTTTATTTTTTTGTCTTTAATAACATTAAGTGATTATTATACCTTTATTTTTACATTAATTTATCATAAAAAATATTAACTTAATAAAATAATTAATAATTAGACAAAAAAGATTAAAATTTTTTGTACTTATTTAAAAATAATATAATTTTTTCTTTGTTAAAAATACAAATTTGTGCGTAGTTATACTATTATAATTTATTTTATTTTTTTATTTTTTTATTATTATTTTATAAAATTAATAATTTTAATAATAAAAACATAAAAAGAAAAGAAGTGAACTTAATTATTTTTAAATATGTTTTTATTAGTCATTTTGATATTGAATAACAAGTTAACAACAATTAACTATTGTATAACTAAACTATTATATTAATTAAATATATTATTTACGATTTGTTACTCACTTTTTGCTATCCACTACCCACTATCTGCTAATTATTATCTGTCATCTATTGCTACTATCCATTATTTACTACTTACTATCCTTATTTGTTAAATTTTAACCATTATAGCAAATAAATCCTAAATAGGCAAGGGAAGGTGCATTTTGTAATTCTAGAAATGAAATGGAAATTTGCTTGGAAGAACCAAAATTCTTTTTGCCATTTTAGTGCATCACGCAAGGAATTATGTCATTTGTTTTGTCACTGGCAATGTTGGCTTTCACTCTCACAACCCGACAAATGGCAGGATGGTTTACATTTGGAGAGAGTATGGAGCCACTTCAAGGCCTTCAAACCGTTTCAAACATTCAATTCAGTCTTTTTATTATTATTTTTATATAAATTAAGCCTTTTTAAATAGCAAAAAATTAATTTTTTTTAATTTTAATTTTTGGAACTTTGTTCCGACTGTACTTTTTTTTTTTTTTTTTTTTTGTCAATTAATCCTTCTTTCTAAAAGAACATGTATCCCAAACATTTGAACCATGACAGTAAGAAAAATATGTTTTTACTCTTTTTCTGGTAGAAAATATTTTTATTCTTTAGTCTTAACTTCAAATCTAGAATAACGTATCAAATAATTCTTTAAACTGTTTGGTAATCATGGAGGATGTTAAATAATTCTCAATGAATATTAAGGGTGCTCCGAATTAAATTAATTTTTCTGAATAGAGTATGAGTTTTAACTGGAATTAATCATAGGGAACTTTTAGTTTCAAGCTATTGGATGTTAGCCTTAGGTTGTATTTTTTTGTTACTCATTAAAGAAAAAGAATTTAATTGTGAAAAATAATTATTCAGAGTAGAATTGAGGAATTAAATTTAATCATGATCAAAACAAAACTCATTGGTTTATAAGTTTTAGATCTACTTTAAATGATATGAGATTCATATTATCATTGGTCACAAAAATCAAAAACACATTCATTAACCCACACAAGCACAAGATCTACATCAAACCCAATTACAATAAAAATAAAACTTATTATAGTTACAAATACAAGATTTATCTCAAGTGATATGAAGTTTATATTACATTGACAATAATAATCAAAACAAGTAAACAATAATTAGAACAAGCTCCATTAGCCCACAAACCAAGATCCACATCAACAAACACAAGATTTACAATAAGTGATCTATGAATATCAAACCTAATTATAATAAAAACAAGATCCTCTTTTTCAACCCTAGAAAGAGGTTGATTAATATATATATATATATATATATATATATATATAGAAACCCCATAAAGGAATGACTGTGCGTCTTCCTCCCCTCCCCCTCCATCTTTTCTACTTCCTCTCCCACCTCCTCCAACACTACCACCACCATCACCAACCTCGACTACCACATCATCGTCTCGTATGTACACACTCCCCACCATATTGATTGCCATCTTGCGACTAAGCATTAGAGTGGGTTTGTTTATTGTCTGGCATTGCTGGGGAAGCAGAAAGAGCTACCATTGCCCCAGGCAGCCACAGACTACCCCTCTTGATGAAAAGAAGCCTGGAGACTTACCAGAGCTGAAGCCAGCTTAGACTCAAAGGCTTTACGTGGCTTATTTGTAGAGTGACTAGAGGCACCAGAGACAGCTTAAGCACAAAGGCCTTACGGGCGCCCGAAGGTGCCAGAATATGATGCTAGCGACCCAACACTTCCTTGCTAGCTATCCACTTATCCAGTAATATGTAGGTTATACACAACATTAATGCATCAAAATATTTTTTTAAAAATCTATATACCTACATCAAAGATTGATAAGACTTGGCATTTAAAAGTGTTCAACATCCAACTAAATCATGCACTAAAAGGTGCTGTATAATAAGAGTTTTTTTATTGCATCTTTGATCTTTCAAAATTGACACTAAAATGTCTAAAAGAGAAAAGAATCACAAAGAGGAACCGAGCAATAACTAATGAATAGGAAGATCTTCAATAACTAGTGAATAAGAAGATCTTTAAAAGGAGAAAACCAAAATTAGGAAAGCAAAGAGTCAAATAACCAAAATTGGGAAAGAGAAGCAAAGAGCCAAATAAGAATTAGAAAACGAAGAAGACATTACACATAATCTCTGATCTTGTCTTCTTGAAAGGATTCATCTGTAAACACTCATCTATTAGGACTAATCCTTCAAAACCCTATAAACCATAGTGCATTACACCAATGATAACAAAAAGAAGATGCACATGTTGCTCATCAAAATTACTACAAGATAAATTATAATGGGAAACAACAAATATATAATATTGCATAATACAATTAAATAAAGAAAATATTGCTACTATGAAATGATAGGTAAATTGAACCATCTAAATCATGGAATGTGTTTACGCATGGTACCTAATTAAGAAGGTTAATGCAAAAACCAGTTAAGGGGCAATTTTAGGTATCCATATGATGAGGGGTTGAGTTTGTCATGCATGGTCCGCCTATAGTGCTTACCCTTTGTACTTTTGTGTGAAAAAGACGCTAATCCCCATTAATGAAGACACTGTGCAAGGGCAATTTTGAACATTCCGTCACTCACCTCTACATTGTTGGTTGATATCAACACCCTGAGCCTTGTGTTCTAGCAGAAAACCCTGCAAAGACAGCAAGAGAGAAGTTTATGAGAGGGGTTTATTGAGACAGATTATACATGAACAAGATTGTGTAGATTAAAGGCAAAAAAAAGATAAAAATCCCTAAGGCAATCATAATAAGATTTTATATATTTAGAAATTCAATTTTCATGTTCAGGTATAGAATGCAAAACAGATTGCGTAAGATTTATTACCTTAACACATAAAAATCTATGGGAAACACTTGACCGCTTCATTGTCTCAACTATCAAATCTCAATTTCTCCTTTTTCCAAAATTTTCACGACAACCCTTTCTCCTGTAAACAATAAACCCAAAAGCTTTAAGAACTAACAGTAAGCATCAAGGGAATTTATTCAATAAACATTGTCATGATTCATTCTGATAACTAAGTTGCAAATCTTCTGATAGTCAAAGTTGCAAAAAAGTCAAAATACTAGAAAACGCCAATGAAAATGTTTTAATTTTCTCTGCTTTCTCTTAACAATCATCGCAACATATACATGAGCACGTCTATATAAAATTGGTACAAACATTTAGTGCATTTAGTACATTATTACCTTGGAAACAACATCAGTTACAAACATAATTCGAGCTCCAGCGGTAGCTGGGGGAATTAGGAGCTCTAGGACCTGCATCAAGGACCATTGTTAGCAACGAATAATAGTAAGAATTCAGATTAAATCTAACATGAACTCTGTACATATAAAAGCACTGATAGTTCAGGAATTAATCCCCAAATGGTTGAAATCTGTACATACTAAGTTTCATCGTCAATTTCTATGAAACCGAAAGGCAATATGGTGAAAATTTTACCAATAGAAATTCTATTAAGCTAAATCAATAAGCTAAATCAATAAGCTTTGCTAAGACAAGGTCATTATACAAAAATATTTACCCTGTAGAACTTCTGATTCTTGCTGGACAATTTTTCATTGTTCTCTTCAGTGAAGTCATTTATGTCTTCTTTCTTTCTGTCCCAGTTATATGATAATATCTTGCCACCTACTGACCTGAATTAAACAGTGGGATAACCTTTAACATCAAACGAGTTGTTTGAGATATCATTTGCAGTTGCATCATGAAAAAGATAAAAATAAAAACTTACATCAGGAAGCTAGGACTATTTTTTAAAATTGTATTATAGCTGTGAAATTATGGTTGGAAAAAACACCATGATCTAATATAGCCAGGCATAAATAATCTTACAAATTTAGCAATTACAACAACATCGACTTCTTTTTCATACAGAATGACAACTTCATCCAATATAGGAGCCAATTTGCAATGTCCACACAAGGGGCATAAAACTCAAGCAAAACTGCAGAAAGAAATGCATGGTTCAAAAAATAGTTCTTAGAAGGTCAAATTATAAGATTATCAACACATGGAATCATAACTTGGCCTTGGATGTAGTTCAACTCAGTACCATATATCTCTAGAAACTTACGGGAAGGAAAAGTGGAAGTTCTAAATTAACCTTTAGTAAGTTAAAATTTTCTGTCACATCCATCAAGAGCAAACATAAACACACATAATAGAACATTTTACCATCTTCTAAATGAAGGAAAAATATACTAATAACCTATTAGTTCCAATGGAAAGAGTTTAGTTCTTCTTAATTAAGATCTTAAGTTCAATTTTGTGAATGGAAAAATAGGCCGTGAGAGTACTGAGAGATCTTCTTTTTATGGGGTCTGACACGGTTCGATTTCGAATTAGTCATGACCTAATGTGATTATCGGATATTGGGAGATTAGTAAAAAATATATATATATAGAAAATAAAGAAAAATAAAAAGTTATTTTGCTGTATGAACTATTTTCATTTGCACCATTCTATCTGGAGATGAAGACCACGTCCTCGAGGCAGTCAGCAACCACTTTCACAAGCTCGTTATTACCCACAGGGATAGCCTCAGATCTAACATATGATGGAACTTTTCCTTCCTGCAAATATGCACTTCAGTTTAACAGAAGAACAATCCACCATATTAAAGAACTAATTAAATCTACATGCATGGCCTACCCGTAAAAAGAAAGATTAATATAGTATACTCATGCACTTTTCAGTTCTGTTATATAGATAAGGGTTCATAACTTCGTATTAGAAAAGAGTATACTGAAGTTGGCAAATGACTTAAAAAAAAAAAAAAACCCAAATCACCTTGTAATCCTTTACCCGTGAGTTTTCGAACACAAGGGTTTCAAAATTGATGATCGTATCAACAGAATTACAACACGCTGAGGAGTGAAGCGTTTGAATTTCAAAATCCGTTTTGGTATAGATAAGCCGCGCTAGTGGGTCGATATAATCCAAGATGGCACGAAATGTTGGTGACGATTGTGCTCTGGGATAGGAAAGGGATTGTACAAGCTGTATAGGCGGTTAAGGACAGCGTATTGAAAGCTGTTGAGGTATTAAAGGTCGAGAACGACTCAGGCAGTTATTGCAGGAGCTGATAAGTTGAGCAAATTTTAGACTTTCATTATATAGTTTATGTAGTTCATTAAATTTTGTTGTTAAGAAATTATCGTATCTGAGTACTATGAGATTTATTTTAGTTTTAACTGTTAAGAGACTCTTTTTTTTTTTTTAAAGTATATTAGAGGGTTAATCTCTTAATATTACAAAAAAATTTAAATTTTAAATAATTAATACAACTCAATTAAGTTCTTACCTATTAGTTGTTTCTTTTGTTTAGTGGTATAATTAAATTTTGAATTTGAAATATTATAATTGCTTTAATGAGGTGAAGGCTTAGCATATATCTAGCTTGGTGAATATTCTTGATACTTCCTCCGCCTTTAGGGTATAAGTTTTGATGCAGAGCAAGAGGGAAAAAAAAAAATTTTATCAATCAAATTACGATATTTATTAACATTATAATATAATTATTTAGTGGTTAGTTTTTTTTTTTTTATGATAGTGAGAAGAATTCATATTAAAAAATAATATTTTTTAATACATTAAAAGATTAGCCTTGGTATGATAGAAGTTTAATTTCAGCTTTTTAATTAATGAATATTAACTCAGGGTAAGTTGTTGATAATGAATAATAATTTTATTGAAAAAATGGGTAATTTGAGAAGAATACTTTGAATTTACTTTAACTCTTTCTTGTGTGAAAAAAAAAAAAGACAAAAATCTGTAATTTGTTCTGCAATTACAGTTGAATCAACAGGGCATGATATGGGCGGATTTGGTTTGATAACTAGCCAAACACTCGTCCTTGCATCCCGCCATCACTGCCTTGATCAACTCCCCACACTTTTTCCTTATCAACCCTTCGTCTTCCCTCTGCATAAGCAGCAGTAACTTCGCCACCGCATTGCTCTTCACCACCGCCTCCTTCACCCTCTCATCTTTGTACGCCGAGAACAGTCTCCACAGCACCAAAACCGCATCCTCCGCTGCCGTTTTAGATACCTTCAACAGCATCTCCGCCACCCTAGTCACGCATTTCGGGTCCTCCCTTATCGCCATTCTCCCTTCGCTACAACTACTCACCCTTGCCAGCAGCTTCATCGCCTTGTCGTGGCTTTTGTTGTTCTTGTCGGCTAAGAAGTTCGAAAGGAGTGCTACGATGCCGTTTTGGACGAGTTCGGATTTGGCGTCGCGAGTAATGGAGACGGTGATTAACAGAGAAAAAACGGTGTCGTTTAGGTCGGGATCGGAGTTGGTTCTGAGGCGGTGCAAGAGGAGCGGAAAGAGGTTCGGCACCTCGGCAATTTTGCGTTTCGATTGGTCGTCGAGTGCGATTGATTCCAGCAATCGGACCGATTGGATCTGAGATTTCTGGTTTCCATTTTGCAAAATTGAGATGATTGAGGAGAAGCAATTGAATTCTTGATTGCTTTTGAGGATCAATCCATTCAACCGTTCTTTGACTCCATTTTCGCTCAAAATCGAATTTAAAACACTAACCACCAGCTTCAGAGCCACGATCTCGACGGAATTCCTCCTCAAAACACCAGCAATCACCTCAACAAAACCACCAAATCTCATCAGAAACTTCCGATTATCTTCACAAGAGCTAACAAACTCCTCGATCTTAGTCAACGAATCAACGCAGCTCTTTCTTTCAATCTTCTCCATCAAAACCTTAACCGCCTCCTCTGAGATCGCCGAAGACTCAGATTCCGGCCTGCGAGTGGCAGACTGAACCCAGAGGTTAATCAGACGGTGAAGAGTAAGGTTGGGGACAAAGTCCTTGGAGGAGAGGACCTGCATGGTGGCCGGACAGGTATCGTGTCCAGATTCCAGCCAGTGCTGGATGCTAGAGCGGTCGTACGTAATGCCAGTGCAGAGACTCACCGGAGACTTCATCACATCCAGCGAGATTGGGCACCGGAAAACACTAGGCACGTTTATGTACAGTTGGTTCCTCACCATTTTGATTCCTTAATTTTAGAAAGAAAAACCCAAAACAGGTTCAACACTGGGTAACAGGGAAAGGGGCTCTAAGAGAAGAGAAGGAGCCCCTGGGTTTTTATAGTGAGAGAAAGGGTCAAACGGTAGGTGACGTCGTTTTGGACGTCTTACTTGGGTCGTTGGTCAAAAACGAGTGCTTTATTTCAAAGAAAGTTTTTTTGGAATACTGAACAATATTCAAACAGGAAGCTGGACACGGTCTTCTTTGGTGGTCCTTCGCGTGGTCCATTGACCCCATGGTATGAATTTTGCAATGGTTGATTATTGAGGTGTGATTTTTATTTGGTTAAATGCTAAATTCGGTCTCTCAACTTTAGTGAGTTACACATTTTTGGTCCCTCAATAATTTTTTACACTTTTTTTATCCTTAAACTTTAAAAAATGCACTCCATTAGTCTTTCTGTTAATTTCAATCGTTAACTTGCTTATGTAGCATTTTTTATTTTTTTTTTATGACATGGCAAAAACAAATTAAAAACGTGTTGATGTGGATTTTTTTTTTCATGATGTGGATTTTTTTTT